GAGGTCCCGCCGCCGAGCGTGCCTCCACACTGGGCCTCAGCTCCCGCCGCCGAGCGTGCCTCCACACTGGGCCTCAGCTCCCGCCCCCGAGCGTTCCACCTCAGTGGGCCTCAGCTCCCGCCGCCGAGCGTGCCTCAGGTCCCGCCGCCGAGCTTGCCTCCACACTGGGCCTCAGCTCCCGCCGCCGAGCGTGCCTCAGGTCCCGCCGCCGAGCGGGCCTCCACACTGGACCTCAGGTCCAGCCGACGAGCGTGCCTCAGGTCCCGCCGGCGAGCGTGCCTCATGTCCCGCCGACGAGCGGGCCTCAGCTCCCGCCGCCGAGCGTGCCTCCACACTGGGCCTCAGCTAGCTCCGCGGAGCGGTCCACCACACTGGTCCTCAGGTCCCGCCGACGAGCGTGCCTCATGTCCCGCCGACGAGCGTGCCTCAGCTCCCGCCGCCGAGCGGTCCACCACACTGGGCCTCAGCTCCCGCCGCCGAGCGGGCCTCCACACTGGGCCTCAGCTAGCTCCGCGGAGCGGTCCACCACACTGGACCTCAGGTCCCGCCGACGAGCGTGCCTCATGTCCCGCCGGCGAGCGTGCCTCATGTCCCGCCGACGAGCGTGCCTCAGCTCCCGCCGCCGAGCGGGCCTAAGCATCCGCCGCTGAGCGTGCCTCCACACTGGGCCTCAGCTCCCGCCGCCGAGAGTGCCTCAGGTCCCGCCGCCGAGCGTGCCTCAGGTCCAGCCGACGAGCGTGCCTTAGGTCCCGCCGCCGAGCGTGCCTCAGGTCCCGCCGACGAGTGTGCCTCAACACTGGGCCTCCGGTCCCGCCGCCTGAGCGTCTCACCACACTGGGCCTGAGGTCCCGCCGCCGAGCGTGCCTCCACACTGGGCCTGAGGTCCCGCCGCCGAGCGTCCCACCACACTGGTCCTCAGGTCCCGCCGCCGAGCGTGCCTCAGGTCCCGACGACGAGCGGGCCTCCACACTGGGCCTCAGCTCCCTCCGCGAAGCGGTCCGCAACACTGGTCCTCAGGTCCCG